GTCATAGAAAATAATTATCCATAACAAATATTTGACATCAACTTGCAATGTCATTTAATGAATATGCTCATACTACTTATTAGCATTCCATGTTCTAAAATACAGTTCCCTCTATAAAAACTGTGGCGGTTGCTACTAAAAAACTTTTTGTTCCCTGTATACCCAAACCAGCTGCACTTCAGGAGGATGATGATATCAAAATACTCAATAAAGGCTATAAACTATCTATTAATTAATATGCTATGAACTCCAACACAGTATCATGTAACTTCACTTAACTGCTTGTGCCTGACTGATTTTATGCTTTTTATTTCTGCAGCCACTAAGGCTACTAACATTTAAACTTCTTTAAGGTTCTTGAGAATCTGACACATTTCAGTATGAGTTCTTTGATGCACTATTAATTTAATATCTGACTGAAAAATCATTTAGCTTGTTTTTTTTCACAGAATCACAGAATTATTGAGGCTGGAAAAAACCTCTGAATCATCAACCTATGACCTAACACCACCCCATCAACTAGACCATGGCACTAAGTGCCACATCCAGTCTTCCCTTAAACACCTCCAGGGCTGGTGACTCCACCACTTCCCTGAGCATTCCATTCCCATGTCTGATCACCCCTTCCATGAGGAAGTGCTTCCTAATATCCAACCTAAACCTAAAGGTTTTTAAAATATTAAAAGATTATTAAATATTTTACACAAGTATCAAATTTGTGAAAATGTCCATATATGAGTGCATCTCAGTATTTGAATAGCTCTAGCAGTTTCTGAAAAGACTAAGGATACTGCAACTTTAAAAAATACACGGATTTTAATTTGTGACACACTTTTGGAGTCCATTGTCTGAGCGCTCTCACACTAAAACATTGATTCCAATCAAATAATAATTTACATTGTATATAGAATAAAAAGAATTATTACACAGGGGGAGGCTCATATTCAGCTGCTACCCACTGCCTCTTTATGTCTTTTTATGACACTAGGTCAGCACAACATTTCTCCCCTGTAAATTATCTGGTAGATATGCTGAAGGCAGTTAAGAAAAAAAAAAAGCTTTTCCCACAAAGCTTTTACAATGAGCTGTGTTAGCTTCCTTATATAAATACATCAATTTATATCACAAAATGTTTATCTGCAATGAAAACATTCAACAGAAGGTCAGATACACAGGAGGGACAGCAGCTGTTGTTTTAAACAATCAGTAACACTCATGTTAATCATCTCCCCGTGTGTAATAGTCTCAGAAGAATAAGAATGAAATCCAGCCCTGGGGTTTCTTACCTTAAATCTAAGCAACCACTTAATGCATAAATGGAGCAAATAAAAGAGGTAAGGAAAAAAAGCATTGAAAGGTTAGTTGGAACTTCAGGATATGAAGAGAAAGGAAAAAGAAAGAAAAAAGTTAAGCATTCAGCATTAACAAAATAATGTATCAGTAGATCATAGAAAGAGTGGTTAAAAGCAGAATGTGTCATGAACAAAAGATTCTCAAGCTGAAAATTTTAATATACATCGATCACAAAGCCTTTAGATTATCACCTTAAAATCAATTCTAAAATGCTTGTATACTGTGTACTCAAGTTCTTACAGTGTTCACAAAAAGTCAGCTTCTTTACAAATGGAACAAGAGATCTAGATGGATTAACTTTGCAGATTAATTTACTTAAGCTGTCAAAGAATAACCTTATCAATACCCTGAGCTCATTTAAACTGTTACATTAATCAGCATATTTACCACACTAGCTGAAACAGAAGTCTCTAGAATATTAAGCTAATACGTTCTACCCTAGAAAATTCTGTTAACTCTTAACATGAAGCCATGAGATCTCTCCTGAACAAAGATCAAATCATTGTCTTTTAAGAAGTACAGCACTCTGCACCACCTATCAGTATTTTCTAAACTATGTATGAAGAACGTAACAGTGAAATCTTATTTTAAAACCTAAGTGCTGGCTTTTTTACATTAAGTTCTACATCTTACTGGCACAGTAACATGTATCTTCTTTCCCCATAATATTTTTTTTTTTAATACTGGTCCTTCCATTTGAATATTCTTTGATCTGTTTTCAGTTCAGCTAATCTAAATGTAACGTATTTCTTCCACTTTTTCTAACACCAAACATTAAATATGCAGAATCTCAACAGTGGAGCAACCACAGCGACTACTACATTTCCTCTATTTAGATAATAAATAGACCTTAATGTATTAAGAAAGAAACACAATCTGGTTTACTAGAAAATCTCCTGTCTTTGAGTTTAAAGTTCCAGAAACCATTGGTCAAAATGGTCTCTGTTTCTTCACATCTGGAAAACCAGCCCCTCCTGTATTGACCAGACAGAGCAGCCAGTTACATCAGAGGGTCAATGAACTGAGACTTCTTGCTCAGCAGCACTGTCTGATAATTACGGTGCCTTAACCCATTCAAAGTGGTGCGTATCAAACGTTTTTGTTTTCTTTTCCTTCATACTCCTGACTAAAGAATTCTTTGGACGGAAAACAGACTGGAAGACTTTGTAACTCGGGAAACATCTGAAAAAACTGAACACAAGTCTCCTTCAGGCAAAAGATTATTTAGATTTTTGCAGCACTCTAGCTTCAAGAAGGGAAGATGAGGAGGGATTGCTGGCACTTAAATTCTCACGTATTAGGAAACCATATTGTAGAGCACGTTTTCTTGAATATGGCATCTCCTAATTTCTGAATGGAAAGAATAGGTGCTCATGTGCCTATACTACTCTCAACATGGCATACTGGATTTCTTGGCCAAAGGATGCTCCCTTTTTCTCCTTTATTATTCTCTGTCCAGTTTGCCACCTTCCTCAGTGTTTGCAATGATTGCTTGCTGCATTAGCTCTTCAGTTGTCCTGACAATGTATGATTCTGAGTCCAAGTACTAGAGCAGAAGCCCTATAGTAGAAAAAACAGAAGTCAAAGAACACAGACTGAGGCACCCTGATGCTAACTGGAACTTGAATGCTATTTATCCAATAATTCCTTCTGGATATCTATTTGAAGGGAATCTTCAAGCTCAAGAAATAAAGAGCTATAAATAGGCAAATGTAAAGCTCCTCCCCTTTTTTTTTTTTTTTCTCCTTATTCTCTAAACAGAAACCTAGTAAACGGTAGTTACTCAAGGAGAACAAAAACAATAGGTTCATAAGCACAACTTGCCACTTTCTTTCTGATGAACACAGGATTAATCTGATTGGAACAGATCTAGGGATCTTAACGTTAAGGATAGTAGGATGTTAAGTTCTCTGCTTATTGTTTCACAAGTACACAATACTTTTTCATTTTCTAGGTAAATACAGCACATTGAAAACAATTTCTTAGACGTTTCATGCATATCACAAACATAACTAACAGATGCAAATACACATTTGAGTCATCCATTTGATGAACTATGTTCTTTCAGAATAATGTAATTCATTGCATCACAGACAGTAGGAAGTAAGTGGGATACCAATTATAACAGTTTAATGGCAGTGCTAAATAAGGTTGTGCTGCAGAGCAATTAAAAACTATTCTTGAATGAGTTATAAAATAATTTCAGTAAAACAAAAGTGTTCATTAAAATAATAGCAACAGTAACCCTACAGGTTAATATGCTCCATTCGTATCCAGAAGGAGTTCTGCTGACCTGCATACATTTAGATTTTATAAGGATTAGCCATAGATTTTAGCACAAGACTAATAATAGTTTCCTGGTCAAAACTGTAGATTTCATGCTGGGATTTCGTGTTTGGTTCGGATTTTTTTGTTAGGTTTTGTTTGTGTTTTAAAAATCAAGATTAAAAAGTAACGCGTCTTTTTAGATCTATTTAGGGTTAAAAACTGTTGTTGATTCTTGTGGTAAGAAATGGGGAAAAAATACTTTCTGTTAACAAACAGGACATTGAGGAGACCTTAAGTAAAATTGCTTGGGAAAGATATTTAAATAGCACTGTTCAGAATTCAAATTTTAAGAGTTTAAACAACCTATTGTCATTTAAACAACTATCCAGATAGTTCCAGTTGAACAACATAGATAACCTAATGCAGTTACAAATCAAGCAAAAGAAATTCTGGTGCACTTTGACTGGAAGAAGCATCTTACCTTACTGCTACTTAGCAGGTTTGCATATTTGTTAGCTTGTAATGTAAAAATGACACTCCTTTGTGTTATTTACCTTTCTTCTCCTGGAACTTAAACATTGTCAGTGGTCTCATCTCTGTATTTGTTCTCCTGGTAGCATAAGTTAACAATGAGCTCACACCTCCTGAGACTGTGTTTACATTCAAGACATGCTTTTAAAAAATGTATATCTAATCTCATACATGACACCTGCTGTTGTGTACACTGATACAACAGTTGTATAACAAGAGCCCCCACTTGTGCCTCAGTCTGATCTTTGCCCTGAAATTCCTCATTTTTTCTTAGTCTTAAAAGAGAGACCCAGATGGCTTTGAACTTGGCACCAATATTCCCATTCTGAAACCCCATATGGCACCAAAGTTGTTGAGAGCTAATTTTAACAACACACAAGATATAACTGTCTCTGACAGAAAAAAGAAAAGGGAGCACATAATACTTCTTATGCAAACCCTTTCTTTGGGTGAGCTTCCAAGTAAGCCAGTGACAATTACAGCTGGATCATACTTTGTGGTACTAATTCAGGCAGAAAAGTGACAGTTGTAAGCCTTTCGGTCCCCAGGTATAATCCAGGCAACTGATGCAAACAGCAGCATCACACAGGTACTGAGAAGCATTTTGAAAGGTGAGATCCATAGTCCTGCATATCCTCAGAAATAAGATTCAGTGGGTTTGCAAAGTTTAGAAACACTATGACAAGGGAATGGGAAGGAGCAACTGCAAATTGGACTCCTCTCATGTTTATAAATACTCTCGCCAGGCAAGGAGAAACTGGTATAATACCATGAAAAGCAATGGGTTATTTTGAAAATATACAAAGACAATGTATTTGCAGTTTGGCTGTTTTAACAATATCACCTACCTTCACTCCATGTCCAATATCATCTAGAATTGTATAATCAATAGGTTTCCTGATGTAGCGAACTGGTCGCTCCAAGTTAGCTGGTGCAATGATTTTGTGAGTTCTTGAGGTGTTTTTGTTTGTAGTCAAGATACCAATTTCTCTTCTAGCAACTTTCTCTTTGTGAATGTCCACCGTCTACAAAAGACGCAGTGTATTTACTAACAGTGGTATGCATTTGAATACAGAGTCAGTATTAAAAAGAAAAAAAAAAAAACAACTAATCATTTCTAACGTTTCTAAGATCTCTGCATACTGTGCTAAACATAACACTGCACATACTTGATTATATAATCTTTGTTTAATTTACTGTTGAACTTGCCACTTTTAAACCCACAGTAATAGCCACTGGTTCTTTCAGTTTTCTATTATCCTCATTCTTTTCAGTTCAGCAAAATTCCTTCTCCTTTACATTCTTAGTAGTTCCCGTTAGTTTACTGATATTGTTTTATACAATTCTTTCAATTATCCTTTATAATTTTACAATTGCTGTCTAACCTCATCTTTTAAATATTCTCCAACTAGGTTAAGTGTAAGGATAGGTCCCCAAACCTTAACTTTTACAACCTGAAAAACAAATCATAAGCAGGTTTTCTTATGCTGTGTAACAGCTTGCTAAACTAGGACTGGACATCATATGATAGAATAAAATTTCACTCAACAAGACAACTTGACAAGTATTTCAGTCATTACAAAATCACCCATCACAAAGCAGTTATTAGATTTTAGAAGGTGCTCAGTACTAATTTATCCACAATGACGCCAGTGATTAAGCCCAGTGCCCTCACTTAGAATGCCTAAGGCCAACATTGAAAATCCCTTCCTGCAGATATTATAATGAGTAGAATTTTACAGCAGAATCTCTGCTGTAAGAAAAAGCCCTGCTGAAAACTAATTGCCTTAAAACATGTACTTGAATTTTGTTTGGTAACAAGGCTAGGAACAAGTTACCAAATCTGTCTACTTATCTTTTTCATAAAAGTATCTTAAATCATGGTGCACAGAGTTGCTTGCATCGTTTAAAACAAAAATAATTCCTTGCTCACAAACCAGGTTTCCTTAGGAAATCTGCCAGAATTGTGAACAAATGTTAAAGGGTTAAATGGGTTAATGTTAAAATGTTAAAAGGTTAAAAAAAAAGTAAGAAAACAGCCAGAATCACCACTATTAGGATTCCTAAACATGCACAGGATTTCCTGTTACCACTTCAGTGATTATGAATGATACCAGAAAGACTTTTCATAGTTAGGAGACAGGCTCTGTAGTAACTAAGGAACAGGCACAATGAAAACTCATTTTCATAACACATATTTTAAAAGTTCTATTTTTCTGCGGGCAGGGATTGGGGCAGTGGTGTTGGTTACACTGTTTGACCCTTTTTTTTTTGTGCAAAATGGATGCTGTATTACTTTGTGCAATCATGACAATCTTTAAAACTACAAAAAAATGTTTAAAAAACCAAACAACAAAAGCCACACTTCCAGTAAATTGTTTCTCCACGTTCTTTTCAGAGAAGAATTTCCACAAACCACGGGCATTATATAGAAGTTTGAATTACTATCTATCAAGATTACCTAGTATTTCCAAGATTTTCAAGATCTTGCAACTTCACAGAAATTAAGCACTTAATTTAGTCATATACATTTCTGCCATCTCTAGTACCATCAGTCTAGAACCGTTTCTACTAAAGTTACATCACTATTTCTTAAAGCAAAACTACAGAAAAACAGACTATTCAAGGTCAAAATATGTTGGCAACCCCTCTCTTTGGAAAGCTCGAGTTCATTGAGCAATGATTTGAAATTTAATAGGTGTAGTTAAACTATCTGGGACACATCCTCCATCACCCTCACAAAAACCCATCCAGATCTGGCTAATACATAAACTCTGCAGAAATTCATATTTCATACAAGCTTAACAGAAACATACAATTCTATGCCTATTTAAGAACTAAAACACTCTCCAACACATTTTGCCAAAGTTCTTCCTGAAGCTCCCTGTGATGCTGAGGTCTATATACCACCTCCTGATACAATAATGCAGACCAGACCTTCACAGCTCTTGCAATATTATAGCGTGAGCACCAGTGCAAAAAGAGCACATAAACATGTTCCAGGTCAGAATACCAAAAGTGTATAATTACACATCAAGGTAAGATTCAGTATTTTATCTTCCATCCCAGGTTTTTATCCCGTCTCTGCAACAGACCTTTGCTTTTGCAGCTCAGTGGTAGGAGAAGTCCTGGAACAAGTAGCAGTCATACCAAAGAGATCACCTACCGAACCATCATCTCATCTGTTGAGGAGTCAGAAACCATGTACTATCTTGATAAGCTAATGGTATGTGACTGCAAATTGGATACAGTGTCATGTTTAATACCACTGAAGAATTCAATCTCTACTATTATCTCAGACTTCACCGGTGATATAGAAATGTCACTGGAAAACTGCAGAAATATTACACTGATTCTTACATGTTCTGTCTCACAGGCCTCTGATACCATTTGCTATAATGTTAAACAACATCAGCTGCAAGAGCAGCTGAACCTCACATGCTATATGATGTTTCAAATGTACTGAAACATGAAAATCTTATGGGTCTGAATCTGGTAACTAGAAAGTACTTTATGCCTTGAACACTACACAATCAGAGCCTTGATTTTGATCTACAAAAAGAAAATAATTAGTGCAGTGATGGCAAGATTATTTCTTCCCTTCTCTGCATTTCAAGCTCTCAATCTCTGCTACTTTAAAGATGTGTTATTTCTTATGAAATTATCTATAAATACAATGTGAGTACAGATATTTAATGCACATATTAATGTAGTTACGGTATTTGGCACTGTTGAATGAATGAAAAGCATGGTCTTTTAATTATTCATAGGAGTCATGAGTACAACCGATTTCCTTAAGGACTAGGGTGATCAGTGAGGCGTAACTACAGTAACAAACAATAAAATGCATAAAACCTAATTAAAAACTGATGTTCTTTTATCTTGAATAGCTATGGAATGACTAAGAGTATAAAAACTGCACCTAATTCTGGTACACACTCCTAAAATTGTATTGAAAAGCATTTTGCTGGATGTTTTTTTAAAAACATCGTTTTCTTTCTTATTAGACTACCAGAGTCATAAGGTCTTAACAGGTCTATAAAACAGCAGAAAGGAACATTGAGGTATTTTATTGGTAGAGAAAGGAACAACGATTAACCTGCTGCTAAACAAAATTAAAACATTTATCCTAAACACACAGGCAATCATTGCCTTCAGTACTAGCATAAATCCCGTAAGTGAGACAGAAGAATTCTAGCATAATGTTTATTCATCAGTTTATACACTTCTGTTGAGAAGTTTTTGGGGTTAGAGCTGGCCTAATAAAACACCTGGCTTGGGAAGTCTGCCAGGAAAAGCAGAAGGGACACACCGTGCCCTGTTATAACTTAAAACACTGTTTTCTAACAAGAAATTTCAGACTCCTGACAGCATTATTACACTCTTTTTTTTTAACACTCCATCTTTGGAGAACATGTGGAATTCCAATTCCACATGTGAAATGCAAAATTCAGTATTAAAAGCAAGATTACACATCCAGATATCATCATTTGCATTAGTGTTTTCTAAACGTAAATACCAATATCTACTGACCAAAGCACTAATGCAGTAATGCACTGTGAGTAGGTGGTAATTATCTGTTTTCTGTTTTACATTACTGACAATTTCAAGTCAGACTGACTGAAATAATAATGTGGCACACCAATGAGGCTTTTTAAGCACTATTAAAAACAGTCCACTAAACTTTACACCCAACAGAAAAAAAATTAAGTCTTCTGCATGTTTGTTCCACAAGTATAACAAAATTACACAGAAACTGTGACAAAGTAATTTTTAAAAGAAAAATTACCACTGAATTAAGACAGATTATGATCTCACGGGATGAAGCCATTTTAGAACATGCTGAATTCAGCTTAATAAAGTTCCTTGGATCAACACACTTCGTGTACTGTCTGCTGCTCTTATGTAATTTCTTCCATGAAGATTTGGGGAATATCTGATATATGAACAATGCATGTTCAAAAAAAACCAAACCAAAACAATGAAACCCCTCAATTTTCTATTTTACAACAATATTTTAAAAAAAACACAAAAAAAAAAATCCAAGAGCAAAAAAAACCCCACAGCCCAAAACCAACCAAACCAAAAAATCCAACAGAAAACTTTTTATGGTTGTTTAAGTACTGCGTATGGATTTTTGCAGATACATCCTCATTAACTGTTGGTAATTTAGTGCTCCATTTTAAGTAACTAGCCATTTTGTATAAATGCCGAAGACAATCTAACCTAGCATCTCAACGTGCATAAATCTCAGCTTCTCAGAAGGAAAAAAATTTAAAATGCTATGGCCCTTCCCTCGAAAGCTACATTACAGAAACTATGTGAAATGTGAAAATGAACATTCCACATCTAGAAAAAGGAAAAATACCATGAACTCTGAATGTTTTTATTTCTATACTGTCTTTTGTGTCAGGCTGTCAAACAGTTGAAATACCTGTCAGATGGCACTAGCTTTTCAAGAAGCATGCACACACATACACACACACACATATAGAGAGAGAGACACAGAGGTGTATGAGGCACTTACACACATTCACAGCATATATATATACAACACACACATATGTGCTCAAGCACAGAGTAATTTGTGACATTCAGAGGGAAAAAATAATTTATTTGTCCATGGATTAACAAGAAGCATGTAGCAGAAGAAATCAAACTTCTCAGCTTATTCTTGAGGATGCAGTTGCATAAAATAACTGAGGCAATCTATTAACACACTACCACCAGAAAGGACAATTCTCCCCACCTCTTCTTTGCTGCGATCTGGAATTGCTCTGACCCCTCAGTGAGACAATTCAGTCCATTAAGTTAGCACAAAATTATTCATTTATTTTTCTGGTTCAAATCTGTACTAGCCTAGCAACCCTTTCAGCATAAGCAAGTTAACAGATCAGTTCAATCTGCTTACTTCCTACCTTACACAGCTCCTACTTTCAAATACCTTTCTAAATACCACAATATTCCTTATTTTAATTTATGACACTACCACATTCAGCCAAAATGTATTGGTCAAATAAGACACAAACTCTCCAATAACAGAAAACCAGAAACTTCTATATCATTGCTCCTAATCTGTCCTTTAATCCAACATTGGCATGTAAACCTCCAATAAATCTATCATCCTTCTTCAGCCCATTCTGGAAGTCAAAATTCTCTCATCAGTGTGGTGATGGGACTTGGGCTCCTGACAATACTGGTGTAGTTTATTGCTGCTCAGAAAAAACACTAACAATGGCAGGAGTTCTGCAGCCATACGCAAACTGGAAACATTAATTTTTCCTTCTATTAATGTAATGGCAAAGTAAATTTTATTAAGAAAAGCCAGGAGCAAACTATTTTTGTTATCTATGCTCTTGTTATTAGATGTCAGTATTACAGCAACAGGAATAGCAAAAAGATTGTAAGTATTCTTTTCCACTATCCACTTCATATTTATTTCTTTTAATTTCAACTGACTGCAGCCAGTAATACCAAATACAGTAAGTCACCAAATAGGAGGAGGAAAGCTTAATCTGTCCCTTAATATCAAATTCTGATTTTTCCTTTAGCAATTTTTCTGTGCTTTTTACTTATGCACTTACCCTTCAAACAATAAACTGGCCAAGAACAGATTTAATCTCTTATGCTATGTAAAATGCTCACAATAACACAGATACACAATCATGTAATGTGACCTGCTAATACGATAAGAAATGCATCCTTCTCTTTTAAATGTCACTATTTTTCTCATTCACAAAATGACAGGTTTATTTGCTGTGTCATTTCAAGAACAAAATCAGGAAAAAAGGCTCACTTGTGATATATGGTTAATTGAAGATTCCATTCGTCGAAGTTGAGATGCCTGGATATCCAGCATTTGGAGAACATTGTTGGCCAAAGTGTTGATCAGATAGGCTACGCTTGCTAATGACTGCGTTGTGTAGGCTTTGGTTTCTTCCAAGGCTCGCTGCTTATCTGCTGACTAAAAGAAGAAAGAAAAGGTTTTTTTAGTAAAGTGTCTCACACAGATTCTTAGAATTAACAACCTTTTACCTATCCTAATGGTAACTTGGCTGTCCTGTTACCATTCCTTCTTTTTGCAAGCCATACTGGTTCCCCAACAGAGCATGCTTGTAAAGACTGCCTTATATCCAGCTATAAAGACTTTAAATAAATGCTATCCCTAGACCCCATTTAAGAACTCATGACTTTTAGCCAGCTGGATAGCACTTATTTTATATAAAAGAGCTCCAAACTCAGTTTAAGAACTCCCAAATTATGGAATACAGAACTGCCTCTACTCTCACATTGTTGGCTTATAAATGCACTCCTTCTTTCCCTCTCTATACTTATAACCTCAGCTCAGTCTGCAAGTACCACTACAGCAGACATACATAACACCAGACACTTTCACAGCTATTCAAACAATTTCTGAATGGCAGTAATAAAAATGACCAGAAGCTTGTCATTTTTTGCTCTGCAGCTGCTGAGGAAGTCTATTTATAGAAGCAGAAACTGCTGATCTACATTAGCACACTGTACATCCAGAATAGCTGAGTAGAAACTGACAAACAGTATTTATTCATTAAAACAGAAAGTGTTTGAGAACAAAAGGGAAACAATCTATCATTTTGGAAACTGTAAGCCTCTGCTATGGTTTTACTGCTTAAAGAAACACAAGTATGAATACATGTTCAGAGCTAGTCTTTCCACTGAGGTAATCTAATAGCTAAATTCAAATCACCTCTATTCATACCAGTTCAAACTAATAAGGAACTGGTTTCTCAACGTTCAAACAACATCTCATAAACCAACAATCTTACAAACACATTTGGAATTGTTATTATTTTAAAAACCCAAACATCTACCTGGACTTATACAAAGCATGTGACACTGTCCAGCACAACTTCCTTGTCTTTAAATTGAAGAGGCATGGACAAGTCAGTGGATGAGGAACTGGCTGGATGGTTACACTCAAAGGGTTGCAGTTAACAGCTGAATGTCCAAGTGGGGATCAGCATTCCTCATGGGTCAGAATTGGGACTGGCTCTGTTTAACATCTTTGTCAGTGCCACGAACAGTGTAATAGAATGCACCCTCAGCAAAGCTGCTGATGACACTGAGCTCTGTGGCATGGTTGACATGCTACAGTGAAGGGATACCATGGGTCAGGGTAATCCCAAACACAAATATAGGCTGGGGGGAGAATGGATTGAGAACAGCTCTCAGCAGAGGACTTGAGGGTGTTGGTTGATTGAAAATGCAACATTAGCCAGCAACGTGGACTTGCAGCCCAGAAAGCCAACCATGTCCTGGGCTGCATCAAAAGAAGCACAACCAGTAGGTCAAGGGAGATGATTCTCCTCCTCTACTCCACTCTCATGAAACCCCACATGGAGTACTGTGTCCAATTCTGGGGTCCCCAACATAAGAAGGACATGGAGAAGACAAGGCTCTGAGGAGACCTTATCAGCAACCTTCCAGTACCTGAAGGCACCTACAGAAATGCTGGGGAGGGACTTCTTACAAGGGCATGTAGTGACAGGACAAGGGTAACGGATTAAAACTTGAAGAGCGGAGATTTACATTAAATGTTAGGAAGAAATTCTTTACTGTGAGGCTGGTGAGACACTGGAACACACTGCCCAGGGAAGTAGTAGATGCCCCCAACCTGGAAGTGTACAAGGCCAAGCTGGATGGAGCTTTGAGCAACCTGATCTACTGGAAGACATCCCTGTGCATGGCAGGGGTTTGGAACTAGATGATCTTTAAAGTCCCCTCCAACCCAAACCATTTTATGATTCTGTTATATTAATCAGAGACCCTGAAGCCTTCAGGGTCCCAGAAACATTGCAGTCAGCATGATCAGGAACTGGAAGCAAGTACGTTTTCAGTGCCCTGACCTAAATTAAATGCCAATAAATAGACCATTTAATATCTCTCCAAGTATCTTTAGTCTAGCACTCATACACATAAAATTCTGCATGCCTATGAAAAAAAAAAATTAGTATCATAACATCCACACACAGACCATTTTTTGGGAAGCGATGCTTCCAACTGTTAGATCAGCTTGTCTGTATTTTTTTTTAATGGATATTATATTTAAGAAATCAGAGTCATTGTTTGACAAGTAAGTCTTCTACAATACAGGCAACCTCAGGCTCTAGCTTCATCAGAGGTACCTGTTGAAGAGGGGTCCCCAACACAAACTGAACACTCCCTTTGCTGCAGTGAATTATACCAGGAGGCAAGTTCCAAATTAAAAGTATCTGATCCATAAACCAAATTATAAGCTTTCCCTCATCCACACCACTGCACAGCCACAGAAACAGAATGAAGCACACCATCAAAAATAAAAAGGGAAGAACTCTCCAGGGTTACTCTGCTTGCTAGAGAAAAAGAAAAAGCACTGGAAAGCAGAGATCACTGCAGTTTTGCCAGCCCTCCACTACCGATATATTGTTGTTGGTTGTGTTTTTTTTGTTCACAAGACCTATGTGCAATACCTCATTTGTTTCTCTTAATATTTGTCCATTAACTGTGTTAAAAATTATGCTGCATTTCCATGTCAAACTTCCAGCTTTGACTTTTCAAACAATGTTAAGAAGATGTTTGAGCATCACAGCTGGATCATCTTCACAGCCTTAAAAAATATAAAAGGTTTGGATCATTGACACCTTCTGTGCCTACATTAACAAATTCACATGGAGCTTCTTAGCATCTATTCTGCTTATCATTTTTCTTCACACAGTGCACACATCAGGTGATCCACAATGAGTCACTAAGCAGCATCCTTTTCTCATGCTCAAAGAAATAAGTGAGGGCCCCATTTTAATTCAACACAGAGGCTCCTTTGATGCTCCTGCCAGCCACACATGGGATGAGGATGGTGTCACCTACTATTGGGAAAGGCTGTGTCTGATACAGCAGGAAATGGTCCCCCATGCACCTAGACACAGTGGCAGCCATTGGTCTGCCCAGCTCTCCACTGGAAGATGTTTTCCATTTGTAGGAAGCACTCACTACTGAAACAGTTGTTTCGCCTCCTCCAGAAAACAAAACAAAACTGTAGACTAGATGGAAACACTTCACAGGAGGGATGCAGTTTGAGAGCTACAACACAGACTACAGTGACTACTCTATACAAAGTTGGGGCACCTTCAGGTAACAAGAGAAGATCCAAGTCTTTCAAGTCAGCTACAAATGCAGAGACTTCAAATTCAGTCAGACAAGGCATCTATAACACAGTGCAATAGTATGTGCTTGCTTTCTGACACTGGAGAATTATTAAGTTGCCACTTCCACATGCCAGTCATTACAAAGATGGACACTAAGTCTAACACAGCTTAGGAATGGTAATACAAATGTTCACTTGAAAATATTTATCTTACCAATACAAAAACAACTTACAAAGAAGAAAAAAATTATATTGAATGGAGAGTGAGGGGAATATGAGAGAACAAAACATGCAGAAAGGTTGGCAAAATGCCAAAATAATTTGGTTATATGAACAATAAAAGGAAATCTTTCATGCTTATGGAGCACAAAAAGCAGAGCTAGAAAAGAACCAAGAATTGAATGCATTCTCCCACACCAAAGTGGGATCGGCCAGAACAGACTGATAAAGTCTGTTATGCCACTGTTAAGTTAAACAATTTTGTACAAAAGGCAGGTACTAATTAAGAAAGAAATTCTACAAGAAACAAATAATGGAGGCAACAGGAGCACTAGAGTAATATTTGCAAAATATCAGCCCAACTAGATGAAAGAAGAAATGCTACCAAATGCTACAAATGCTACCAATGCTACCAAATTCAAAGAAAACAAAAGATTTCAAAGAAAATAACACATTAAAAAAAGAAAAATATAGCTCTTATTAATTGGAAAGAGCTAATTGAGAAAGGTCTGGAAGTGGTGTAGGGGAGGAAGTGCTAGAAGCTTCTGGCAGGTGAGCTGGTTACTGGAGGTAAGTTTCTTTCCCATTCTAGTTCTAAAAGCATATTATTATTATTTACCTTTTTTTAATTTAATATTTTAGCCGTCATCAACTTGGAAGTTCAACGCTTTCATCTGGGCTAACAAAACTTAGACAAAAAATTGTCTTAGATGAGGCAAAGTCTGGACCTATGAATTGATAAAGAAATTGTGTTTCTTATTACAGAAGATTAACACAAGTTGCTGCCTTTAATATCAATATGACAAAAAAAAATAATTAAAAATTATTCCAAGATTAATACTTAGTGTTGAAATGAGAAGGGAAAAAAAAAAAAGCTTTTCAGTACTAAGCCTACTATCGCTCACAACTAGTCTAAACTTAAACATCTCTTAGAGAGTTCTCAATGGAGAAATCTCAATTCATACTCAAATCAACTCTGCAGCGTACAACACATTTACACAGTAATATTTAGGTGTCAAAGTAGAAGCTGAGGTAAAAGAGTTTGACCTGGGACAAACTACACTGAAAGGTGTGTCCAGAATCTAATAACTTCCCTAACATATACAGCATCTCTTGTTATTTTTCAAAACAGTACTGTTTAGTGAAACAAAACTCGTACTTAATATTTGTGAATAAAAAGTAACAGTGAAATTTTAAGGAGGAGACACATTAGTTTCATGTAATCAATATATCAGTTGTTTTTGTTTGACTACTGTTACTACAAACCTAAGACCAGGAAGCAAAACCTCCAGTTTCTGCTGAGGTTCCATCAGCTTCAAGCCAACTCCAGAACAAAAGCTGCATGCCACAAAGTTCAATAAGCTTGCATTATTCAGTATGAAATGTGCCCAACTGCAATATTGACAAAGCACACTTCAGTTTTCCTGTAAAAAAAATAAGACTGAGCTCTTATATCATCCTTTCCCTTGTAATTGTTGTTGAATTCCTTGAAGTTACTGAAAGCCTCATACATAATTAAATATTTTACACATATTTGTTCAACTGCACAGATGGCATTTGCTTCGCCCATTCAAGTACTT